TATATATATTTAAAGTTAGTTTTCTGTGTTTGCAACTAAAAAAAATGAAAGAGAGAAAACTAACATAAATCATTTATAGTTTGGCTGTTTAGGCATGAGGCACATTGCAGACAGGGGATGATTGGATTTAAACAAGAGAACCCTAGACCTAAAAATTCCTACTGTTCTCATCAGGTAAGTATACTGGAAAGGTATAAAGCATTACATGTGTGAAAGCAGAGACTCTGAACGTTCAGAGATGCTTAGGGTGCAGTGCGGTGTGCTTAAGAACATGTCAGAATATGTATCGCCATCTTTCAGGCTGAGAATGAGCTATGCCCCTCTCTTGGAGACAGACATGCATGATAAAGTCCTGGGGTAGCTACGATCATGTCATGGGACCTGGCAGCGGCTCTCATTTCACTTTCTCTGACAAGGGAAAAATATGGTTATCCATAGTGATTTTTAAATACCTCATAAACTTGGAAATATAAATATTTTGTTTAAACAGCTACAATTGCCGATCCCTAAAACCCCTCCGAAAGTTCTAGAGTTACACTTTGCATGAACTCTCCTGCCATCATTTTAATTGTAGACTGCGCCTTCTCTTAAATCCCTCCTTTACCTCCTGAACCCCACTCTTCTTGGGGACAGGTTAAAAAAACAAAACAACTCTATTTCTGTATCCAAACAACATACCCGCTGAGACTTGGCACGTTCATTTATGTACTGAATTAAATATGCATTATGTTTTACTTTCCTCATATGTGACCCTCTCAAAGAGGAAAATCAATGTCAATCCTGTGAAAGCTTATAGAAAGTGGAAGCGAAGCTAGAAACCAAAAGTGGAAATACATCCCTAGAATTATAAGCTTTTCCCAAACAAACTAAAAAAAAAAAAAAAAAATGGGCACAGAGGGCGTATTTTTTCTTTTTATCAAAATTAGCCAGAGTTCAAAAGGATATCAGAGCCATATTTTAACAAAATGCTTTACTGAGACACCCAGACTTGTTCTTCTCAGGTTGCTTTTTATAAACACATTTCAGGCCTGTGATCTGTGCTCTAGAAACAACTCTGGCACTGACTACCCCCTGTAAAATACCGTGGTTCAACTATTAGGAGGTAATATTATGCTCATAGGCAAAATGCTGATATGTGTAAAAATTCTGGAAGGATAATCATTTTTCCTTGCCAAAAGGAAAATTACCAAGTTTCATTAGGAATAAAATAACATGCCACCACTTAAGAATATGACTATTTTGTTGGTCAAAATGCTTTGGATTTTTTTTTTTTTTAATTCTTAACCTAGTCTTAGAAAGATCACTTTGCATGTAGCTGAGAAAAGTAGGGCAGTCATAAATGAATTTGCCAAGAACTCTATGATCTGAGTCCCCGATGAAAACTCATTCAAATAAAACTGAAAGACTCTATTATCTCATCTCACTTTATGACTAAACACAATCTGGAAAATACACCCTTGTAAAGGAAGGATTTATGGATGCCATGCATATTTGACGGTAGCCTTCTTCCCTTAATATGATCCTAATTCTGTAAAGATCAGAATGCACTAATAGAATTTACTTCTGGAAAGTCCAAGCACAATAACATTAATAGGTAGGATGAAAAGAAGGAAAGAATGTAAGAAAGAAATTCAGGAAGAAAAAAAGGAGGGAGAAGAGGAGGTAAAGAGGGAAAGAGGAAGAATTCTCACCAAACCATGGAGGTTTAATCAGATAATATTTTAAAGGTTTGAAATAATATGCATTAAGCTGTGCAGACAACAGTCTCTTGAGAAAAGCTTCGTTCTCGTTATCTGTCATGAAAATAATGACCTGAAATGTCCACCGTGGTCCCATATTAATGACTCAGGACTTAAATTGTTCTCAACTTGTTCTGGCCACTATTAACTTAAAACAACAGACAAACCAAAACGCTATGATCATTACTAAAAGTGGCTAGTCTGAATGGGTGGCAAAGGCTCAAACTGAAGTCGATCTTCACTATCTGACTAAAACCAGAGTTAAGACCAAACATACTCCCTAACAACGTTCCAAACATCACCTTCTGGCATACACGTGTTTTAATTTAGGAATCTGTAAGGTACTTCCAAGAGACAGGGAGAAAAGAAATGCTATGAGAAGACCTTAAGATAAAGAGTTCACACTTCTCTGGATTTTGTGTTCCATTTTTGATGAGTGTGTCTTGGAAACTTGGGACATTATTATTTATGTTACGGCCTCTCCAGTGGAATATTCATAGTAGTGTAATGAGGCTTTAACCAGAAGGCACACATACATGTTGCTCTCTGATTGTCTTCCATGAAAGTGCACCAAGAGAGCGGTCTCAGGAAAGGGACTTCAGGCACATTTTGCAGAGGTATATCTTTTTCAGCCTACTGATTTCCTACAGATGGCTAAAGCAGGGTATGGAACATGCTGTCATATTTCATTCATAACACACATGTACTGTAGCTCTAGGGAACAGATGGACAATCACTTGTTTAAACTACAAATGTGAAATACTAAGGTAGAATGGCAATATTTCTAGAAATGTATATGAGAAAAAGAAGCCTTTCCAAGCCAAGAGGAATGGTGAGAGGCTGTGAGGTTACATCAGTGTTTCCCTGATCTCCCTAGCAGCTGCTATAATTTCCCCGACACCCTTCAAAACTTGATAATGGAGGGATCAGGGGGCAGCCGACACAGATTTGACAAGAGAAGCCCAAACCATATCAAATAGAAATAACACTGTTATTCCTGGCTGGTTCACATTAATAGGATTTTTTACTAACTAGGAAAACTGTTCTAGGTTGTGTTTTCAGAGCCCTGTCTTTAGTCTATAAACCCTCTAGGATAGCCCCATTGTAAAAGTGCTCTCTTTCTTCCTCCGAACCCAAATAAAAATAGTTGGCTAAACATAGAGTTTTATACACTTTAAACATCACCATAAACATCTCTGCAGAATCTTTCCTGGTGAGGAAACAATGACAGTGTTGATAACTCTGCTGCATTAGCCAACAGACAGCCAATAAAGTAATTTTGATCAGAGAAGGTGCCCCTACAAAAGCCATTTGTCAATGACAGGAAAAAGAACTTGCATCTTTGAGCTGCAGAGATGTCCAGCATCTCAAAGCCTTAATGCCTCATGTTGGGACACATGACTTTGTTTTGAGTTTTAAATGCAATTTTGCTTGCAAATGAGACTCCACATGGAGTCCGTATGAGCTAAGGATCCAGACAGTGAAGATACCTGATTTTGAAATGGTGTGCAGAGCCCGTGACATAGTGGGTTTCCCTCCCCCCTTCCATGTCTCTCATTATACGGAATTACCAAGTATTTGTGTTCTTGACCATTGTTTAAAGCCAGTATATTTTAACAAACTTTCTCTTAGAAACTCTAATTTTTCTATTATTTATGAATTTAAATAACAATCAAGACGATATATCAAAAGACAAAAGAATTATAATTGTTAAGGTAGTTTGATCTTTCTATCTCTGTTATAGGCAAAATTTCACGTAACTAGAACAGTAAAGAGTGATTTGGCATTGTTTAAACCAAATGATTAATAGAAAAGACAAGAAAGCAATATAAATCATATAATTAAGAAATCCCGGAATAAAATATGTAGGATCCTTTCCTTAATATACCTTGTGAAAGAAAAGAAATCTAAATCTAAATATTTCTGCATATGTATGTGTGCACATTCATTATTATAAAAGTATAATAGGTCTATATTAAAAAGAGATTTACTTTAAAACTCTTTGGTAAAGATACTCTGAGGTTATGTGATAAAAATGTACTATAAAGATTGAAAGCAAGCAGTCTTCTGGCAATGCCACAGTGATGGGTCTGTGACAGCATTTTCTTATAACTCTCTCTCTTTTTAAAATGTTTTGGCTTGTAAACATTTAGTTACATAAGGACTTAAATGTAGCAAACAAGTAGAATGTTATTGCATCTTTATAGCATAAATATTTCCTAAATTTTCCTCTTTTGGCAAAATTTATAATAATATGACTGCACTTCAAGAGATAACATCCATCTCTCAATAAATTGGGCTTTTGGCCTAAACACAATTTCCCCCAAGTATTTCATAGACAACAAATTGCTGGAGCAATTCAAACAGATTGTATTCTCTCTCCAACTGCCCAACACTCAGTGCTCTTTGAGATCATCAGCATGGTCTGATCTTGAACTTGGAAGACAGAAATTCAGAGATACAGTCACTATTGTATCCTAAAATTCACATGCTGCCCAAAATGAATCCCATTGTATTTCACATTAAGAAACATATAAAAGACCAATGACAAGAGTAGCAAAGTAAGGAAAGGACAAAGTTTTCTGGGAAAACCTTGGAAAGCCATAACGTCGGCAGTTCTAACACAAAACTATTGGGTGAGCAAGGCGAATGAGCCGCGAATTAACTTAGATGAAGCTAAGGACCAAAGGCTTAAGAATTTCTTATTGAAAACAAGAAAATCAAACCAGTTTTACAATTATTTCTACTGAAGTAAAATAAATGTAATTGGAATTCCTGAGGCATGGGTTATAATTTAAAACATGCACAAATAATTTTTCATTTATGTTCTGAGTGTTAAAAATTAAAATAAAAGTCAGACTAGAAAATTGACTTTATCACTTTATAATCAGGGGAAAGCTATTTGTGGAATCAGGGACGGGTGCACAAGGGAATGGATCTGTATCTGTTATATTTGATTTCTTAAGCTGGTGTCACGTATACAGGGATTCATTATATTATTATTTATTCTTTTGTGTATATTTAAAATACTTCATCATTTAAAAGTATATACTTGTGGAAGATTTGAAGAAACGTTTAAGAAATCTCAATCCAAAATACTTGACTAGTTTACAAATGGCAACCTGCCATTATTAAGATGGGCATCTCTCTTTAAAAGAAACGAGTTAGAACCCAAAAGAATGGTTCTGCAGTTGGCAAGCAAGCATTTCAATGCCCAGTAAGAGTTTGAATAAAGATTCCAGGCAGAGACTTTGCATATTTTTAGCTCAGAAAAGCAATTTTTTTTTTCAGCGATTGTCTGAAAGCGTGGTGTAAATGTCACATCGATGATATGAAAATGTCTCCTGCAATATGTAATTGGATTTATAGCAGGATTACAAGAGTAATGAAACTGAGGTTTCACAATCTTTTCAAGCTTTCCTGTCTTTTTAAAAGTAAACTAAACAAACTACACGATTTTATTATGTGTGCTCTGATTTGCAGTTGTCAGGCAAAAAGGACCTGGGCCTGGGGGAAAAAAAGGAAGAATATGAACAGTTCTTTATAAGCAATATTCTTCCTGGAAAAACTCAACTTTGGTAGTTGTGTTTGGATATTATAAACAAACAAACAAACAAACAATACAGCAATATTTCTCAGATGAAAAGTGGGATGGTTTTGGAAGTGTTATGTTCTATAGAAAACAAAATTTGTCTGTATTATTAGGTCTAGGTAGCATGGAAAAGGAAACTCTTAAGATAATATTGTGAGATAATAATAGGCTTTTCAAACATACCCCCCAATTTTTTTTTCCCCAGCATATCCCACCCGTAATTCCCTCAGAAAAAAACTGAAGTTTGGATCTCACCAATAACTGTTTTCAAATGAGCCCTGAGCACCAAAATCACTATAGACTTTGAATTTCCAATCAAATTTGGTTGCAAATTCAATAGGCGCTTGTTTTAAACTATGTCATTTACAGCTTAAATTCTTTGTTGCCTAACATATACATTGCACACTTTTACCCCCCACCCCCCACCCCAAGGGACATGACCTGTTTCGAGCAACAGAAAGATGTACTTTTCCAATACACACAGAAAGAATGGCTGTCCTTTATGATCACAGACAATGTGGAAGTGATAGGATGAGACCTTCAAGCCTAAAAGCACCTGTGAGTTGGCAGACTCACCCAGGAAAATACTGTGTGACAGCAAATACCACACTAAAAAAAGCCATTCAACCAGATGAAAAGTGAGACAAACATAGGGATTAAAAGTTACAGGAATGCAGAAGTGAATGGGATGGAGTATAATCCGTGCAAAAATGTGGAAGTCCTTGGGAACAAAGGCCCATCAAGGTCCTACATGATTAAATGTGAAATGTGTATTTGGTGAGAACTTAAAAAAAAAAAAAATCTCATAATCTATGTGTTTCTAAAGAAAGGTTAATATTAGACGAAGAACAGAGACCATCCCACGGTTTGATTGCCTTTCCTGTATTTTTCCCATGTCTTTTCTTATCTTGTTTCTTGTGTTTCATTCTTCTCAGCGCCACCAACTAACTGAACTTAAAGGTCAGTGCTGGCCTTGGCCGTCAGCACCCTAATGCGGGCGGAGTTGCAGGTCTTGCAGAGGATGTGTCCATCCAGAGGGTAGCAGCCTTGGTTATCTCCTTCAGACAGGAGACCACCACAATCCTGGAAAGATAGATGGAAAGGATGTAAGTGAAAATGGCAACTGTGTACGTGAAGGCTGAATTCCTTAGCTTTCCATTCAAGGCCTCCCTCCATAATGTGGCCGCTTCCTGCCTTTCCTCTTCATGCACCGCGGGCCCCCTCCAAGCCTTCCCCGGGATACAACGTAATGTCTTGAATGAAACTGAACAAGAGACTGGGGACATAAAGACAAACAGTAAAATGACCCCCCTTCTCCGATTACCTAATAGGAAACGCGAGCCCCAGAAGAGAAGAATACCAGGGTCTGGGTGCCCAAGTAGTAGTTTTGTTCTCCTCTCCCAAGCAACAAAAACAGCAACAAGGACAAGAGAAAATAAAACAAGGGTAGATCCCCAACCACTGAGTCATCTTGACCTTTTAGCATTAGTCTAGGATCTCTCAAAAGGAATACACAGGTGCAGGGACAGAACTCCTTGGCAGTTGGGTGGGCAGAAGCCAAGCTGCAGAGTGCCTCCTTCCAAGCAGACGGGCCAGCAACAGTACTACTGTCCTCAGCACCTCTGCAGCTCCATTTGGGAAAGCGTTATACAAGAGTCAAATATTGGCCCTTGCCTTTGGAGAAAATGGAAGTTTCTCTGAAAAGAAAAATACAATACTTCATCCGGTGGTGGGTGCCCTTGCTAACGTCAGTAGAAACTCTTCTAAAAGGCTAGAAGTGCCGCATGCTCAGCTTTTGCTGTCCACTATGACGGCAAGGAGGTCACAGGGGCTCATGTCTACATTTGAATGCCAGTAAAATTTTTTTTTCCCAAGGTTTATTTATTTTTGGGACAGAGAGAGACAGAGCATGAACGCGGGAGGGGCAGAGAGAGAGGGAGACACAGAATCGGAAACAGGCTCCAGGCTCTGAGCCATCAGCCCAGAGCCCGACGCGGGGCTCGAACTCACGGACCGCGAGATCGTGACCTGGCTGAAGTCGGACGCTCAACCGACTGCGCCACCCAGGCGCCCCAGAATGCCAGTAAAATTTAAGTTTAGAAGGAGTATCGCCCACAACACAACAGCAGCAGCAGCAGCAGTGGCAGCAGGAGGCAGGCTCCCCAGAGGGCTGGCTTTGCCAAAATGAGCAAAGCGGATATTCCGCAGTTCTAGAGGCATTCCGGAAACTGAATAATGGAATTAAATGAACTCTTTGCATCTCAAAAAAAAAAAAAAAAAAAAAGGACATGTCATAAGTGACATGGCTGTAAACATTTAATGAGCAGACATCTATGATCACCTGAAAACCCTGAAGAGCCTGAAGTCAACCACAGTGTTGGAACCATTCATGGTTCTTAGAACCAAAAGGGGCTATATCGGGCATCCAGTCCAACCTCCTCGTTTTTATAGATGGGGAAGTGAGAGCAGAGAGGGAAGCGATTGGTCCAGTGTCATGAAGCATCTGTGACAGGGCTAGAACTGTGGTTTGCCCTCTCCTTATTTACTGTTCCTCTCATTTTATAGTACTGTTTTAAAAATGCATAGGAACTGGAGGGTATTACGCTAAGTGAAATAAGTCAGTCAGAGAAAGACAGATATCATATGTTTTCACTCATGTGTGGAATTTGAGAAACTTACCAGAAGACCATGGGGGAAGGGAAGGGGGGAACATTGTTTCAAACAGAGAGGGAGGCAAACCAGTAAGAGACTCTTAAATACAGAGAACAAACTGAGAGTTGATGGCGGGAGGGGGGGGGGGGGAAAATGGGTGATCAGCATTGAGGAGGCCACTTATTGGCATGGGTGTTGTACATAAGCGATGAATCACGGGAATCTACTCCTGAAACCAAGAGCACACTGTATACACTGTATGTTAGCTAACTTGATAATATATTATATTAAACAAATAAATAAAAAAGTTTATAGGATTTCAAAGCAAACTTAATTCGTACTGCTGTCATTTAATCTGGAAGGAGAAAAGGCACACATTTCATACAACTCTTGGCACAAAAAACAAAACCATCAGAGGTCAAAGCCTATTTGTATGTATAGCAAGTGTGTGAGCAATGTTGAAGAGCTTTCCTTCTTTGAGCTTCAGTTTCTCCATCTGTGAAATGACTTCTAAGGCATCTATAAGCTCTTTCACACTTATGATTCAGGTCAGTTTTAAGGCTGGAGGTTGCTGTTCCTCTGTAGTCATAAAATCTTGTGTAAAAGCTGGTAGTTTATTATCTTTTTCTTAATTATTATTATCTTTTCTTATGTCAAGGGAAGAGAGCTATATGGAACTTGGGCTCTAGAGCAAAACAAAGAACCCCACATAAATCAAGTGGTTAGCTACAGCTAAAGCAGTGAGTGGAATAAATGTAGTCCCAGAGAGCCAGAGACAGCCCCCCAGCCCTCCTGGCCCCACCAGCCCCTTAGTCTTTGGAAGGTCACCTAGTGGGACTAGATGAACCAATGACGGGAGGGTGTGGCAATAGGCAGTTCATACTCTCCCCACAGAGAGAAGAGAGAGCTGCTAACTACTGCCCTCCAACCTGGATTACAGGCCTCTTGGACGTATTCCCACAGCACCTGTGCATACTTCCCCTGGAGCTCTTAGCAGCTGCCTGACCTCCTGTCTTATGTGCATAGTCAGTGCCTGCTAACTCAACCAGTCTCCATGACTTTGAGCATCAAGTTCCAACCCCTTGGAGAGGAGTGAGATCTTATCTTTCTCAATGGCTGAGAATGGATCTCCGTCCCATAGGAGTATCAGAGTCACAGTTAAAAACACATTATAGGGGCGCCTGGGTGGTTCAGTCGGTTTAGTGTCCGACTTCGGCTCAGGTCATGAGCTCATGGTTTGTGAGTTCGAGCCCCATGTCAGGCTCTGTGCTGACAGCTCAGAGCCTGCAGCCTCCTTCAGATTCTGTGTCTCCTCTTCTCTCTGCCCAGCTCATGCTCTGTCTCTCAATAATAAAATAAACGTTAAAAAAAATTAAAAAAAAACCTCATTATAACGATGACAATAATAGTAACAAGAATACCATTTCCTACTAATTTAGCACTTTGTGGTTTATGATTCTTTAACATACAGTTTTGTATTTTAGTGGCACAGCCATATTTGGGGAGGTGAATAAGAATTTGAGCCCTTTTTACAGGTGGGAAAATTGAGAGTGAGAGGTAAAGTGACTTATCCAGGGTCACCAGGATTAAATGAAACCGTAAGATCTAAAACCCAAGTCCTATGAACACAGGTACCAGGGGTTTTCCCCAGATTGAATAACGGCTGTATTTGTGAAAACCTATTTCCCTTGGGCCTTGCAGCACCTGCCATGCACTGACAGGGTGTGGGGGTGCTGACCACAGACCTCACACCGGTAGCAATGAACATGGAAATCGCGATCCAGAGCCACAATCCGGACAGTCTCCTCCTGGCCCGGGGCCGGCATGATAGGCTCTTTGCACACAGAACATCGGGGGGCAAATTTCCTGAAAATGGAGACAACAGTTCTGGTTAGACATTGAACATAGACACTGACAAACAGGTGAGACCCACAAGTGGAAAGATGAGGGGTAGGTCAAGAGTCAGGACATCTGCTCTGTCATCTTGCATGACCTTGAGCAAATCACGATCCTTTTCTGGGTCTGTTCCCTCGGCTGTAAAATAAGGGACTTAGACTCAGTGACTTTTGAGGTCCTTCTAGATCATAAAGTGAGATTTCGTGAGGCTGGGGAGTGAGTGTATACAATCCTTATGGATGAAGAGCATCTAGGAGCTATTGGTCACATGGTATGTGACATAGAATTCACTTGCGCATAGACTGCAAACACAAATCCTGGGTTAGGGCAGGGTCCTGGCGGCCCTTACTATGTTTTCTTTTCCTTGACCTCATCTTGTTTGACTTTCACTTCTAGACCTTATATGTACTCCCCAGGCCCTCCACAAATATTCTGAGGTTGGTAGCTGTGTCATTCCCACTTATTAGAGCCTCTTTCTTTGATACTAAGTTCTAGGAATTAACACAAGAAACCTCGACCACATATCTTTTCAAAACAGCAGAAGTCAGCGACCTTAAATACACCAAACTTGCTATGACCAAGCGTGTACTTCTGACATTTCGATTGTGTTAAACTCTTGTTTGAAAAGGAAAAAGTTAAAAAGCTGTCAAGTTCTTTATTCCTCAGAGGGTTTTAGCACTTCCAAAAGGTATGAACACTTACACATATAGAGACACGTATATGTGTGTTTTTGAGGTTAACTGTTAGTGAGGAATTTTAACATTTCCTAATCTCTTAACATTCCTGAATGTGACCGATGGCCCTAAATTTTTTTTCTCAGAGCAGATTAAGAGGCTGCAAATATAGGCTGTGCATCCATCCCTATCTCCTGGAAATTAGGGGTAGCATTTGGGAAGGTGTGAAATAAGACATGATTTGAAATGGCCACGGATAAAAGCTGATAGAGGTTAAAAAAAAAAAAAAAAAAAAAAGGACAAACAGACTGCGCAACTCAGTTTTTTCATGGTCATGGTTTTAAGATTAATGATGTTAAAATTTATCTATTTGTAGTGAGACTTAAAAAGAAATAATGATAGTAATCTAATACTTTGCAGAGCACTTTATGGTTGTCAAAGCATTTTTACATACATTATACTCTATATGTACATATTAATTTTCTTGGCAGCAGCCAAAAGGCATCTGTATGGCTGCAATCTAAATAAATATGAATTAAGCAGCAGATCAATTGATTGCTCTGAAAGAAAAATTAAAAGGATCAGGGTACAACTGCAGCAGTAATCAGGGTTGTTATAATTGGCATTTTATGCAAGAAGTTTACACTCAGTGGTAAAAAAAAAAAAAAAAAAAGAAAAAGAAAAAGGAAAAAAAGACTGCTTTGGACTACCTGATTATTTTTGCATCTGGGTCATCAGTAGTGAAATAAGCAGGCTTCTGGAATCCGCTGTAGAATTTCCTTTCCCCAAGCCCATCGGGACTGTAAATTCTGTGGGGTCAGAAGTCTATCTTTTCTATCATTGAACTGCGTGCCTGCCCCTATTTCCTCAAGTAGAATTACTTCTCTAAGATAAAATATCTTTCCCTGAATTTGCCTATTTTAGTAGTGATTATTTGCACATCTTCGGGGATCGCTCTACGGTGAGCTTCCAGCTGGCAGGTTCTGCTCAGTCTCTGAATCTCCAGAAACAACTTCTGTGACCAGGGCAGACAGTAGAATTTCAGGCTACCACTCATAAAATGAAGTGTCTGCCATTTTGCTCTATAAAAAGATGTGACTTGGACCTTTATGTTCAATCTTAAAGTCCTTCCTCTTTGGAAAGGCATAAATTGTGTTCTCGCTGAGTAAGGATTCCTTCCTACCAATTGGCCTCATTTCCATGATGGGAAAAAACAAAGGGAAGACAGGAAGTGGTTTCACAGTCCCCACAGTGTTCCTTGGCCGGCATTTTAAAGACTGTTCTAAATCCCAGGTGGTCTGTTTCAAAGCTCAGCTCACTCAGCAGATAATAATAATAATAATAATAATAATAATAATAATAATGATAAATAATAATAATAATAATAAAAGTAAATTTGATAAAAAACACTTTTGATTGCTCAAATGGCTACCATATATTGTGTGCTTATTAAGTGCCAAGGCTTGTTAAGCGCTCTGCACACTTGACCTCGTGTTTTTACTGACAACAACATTATGAAGAAATAGTTTTTATCATTTCTGCTTCATAGCCACAGAAGCCAAGGCTCAGAGAAGGACAGTCTTAATCATCTTGTGTCCTGGCACATTTCTGGCAATCAACAAATGGATGCTGATTAAACAAATAAATGGATGAATGTAATGTCCCTGATAAGAAAGCACAGATAGTGAAATAAAGGCTCAACACAATGAAAGGTCAGTTAAATAAACCTGCTTTTCAGAGCTCACTGTCCTGGCACTGGGAATACAGAAATAAACTAGGACTTCTGCAGCCAGACTGGTGAGGGAGTTCTATCTATTTCTGCATTTATTCTATTAAGTGCAATATACATATCCTGCCATATTGCAAAAATGATTCAAGGTGGTAAGTGTAAAATTGTGTGTGTGTGGGGGTGCCTGGGTGGCGCAGTCGGTTAAGCATCCGACTTCAGCCAGGTCACGATCTCGCGGTCCGGGAGTTTGAGCCCCGCGTCAGGCTCTGGGCTGATGGCTCGGAGCCTGGAGCCTGTTTCCGATTCTGTGTCTCCCTCTCTCTCTGCCCCTCGCCCGTTCATGCTCTGTCTCTCTCTGTCCCAAAAATAAATAAACGTTCAAAAAAAAAATTGTGTGTGTGTGTGTGTGTTCTTTATTACTAATCAGGCTGTGTATGTACTAGCTATAGCTGATTTACAAAACTCTGCAGAACACAGAGAGGAAGATATAAATTCAAACAGGGGGACAGGGGAGGGTTGAGGTCAGGGAAGTCTTCTCAGAGGAGGTGGTAATTGAGTTGGACCTTGAATGAAGGCCATTTAGGTGAAATGGGAAAGTGTGTGTGTGTGTGTGTGTGTGTGTGTGTGTGTGTGTGTGTGTTGAAGGTGAGGGTGGACACAGTCAGTTTGCCAGGGAACTGGTTTGAACAGTCATCTGAAATAGGAAGAGTTGCTACCCAATAGGATAGAGGACTTGAGCCAGCATTGACTGGAGGTGGTTATGCAGGGGATGGTCCATTAACAAGGCCTTACAAATAGTGTTTGGGAAGCTTGTTACTCAAAGTGCTGTCTAAGACGATCGGGGAGATTGTCAGAAATTTGGAATTGGGAGGTCCCACCCCAGACCTACTGAATTATAATTTGCAGTTTAACAAGATCCCTAGGTGACTTGTAAGCACATTAACATTTGGGCAGCACCAGTTTAGAAGACAGGATGCTAAGAAGGCGAGATCAATCCCTTCTCATGGGCCTTCCGTATCTCACTTCCACTCTCAGGCTGCTCTAGTTACAGCCAAGCAAATCTTCCTTGAATGTAGAGACGCCCTTCCCCACTTCACCCGTTCTTTATTTCCTGAGTGGTTCCTGCTGTCAGGAATTTCTGTTTCTCACTTAAAATACTTTTCAGATTCTGCTTCCAGAAGCCTACCCAGATCCCGGGGCCAAGTAATCTCGGACTCTGCCAGTTCAAGCCTTCGCCTGTGCCTGTCTCATCGTGTCTGGCCCCTTCTGCCTGATATCACACATACTCTGCACTTACTCCCTCCCCTCCTTCTGGCAAGCTCCTTGCTGACAGGGGTTTTTCTCGGTGTGTCTGTGCATTTTCTACTCAGGCAGCTTCTCTCCTTGTATCTCTCTCCTTTAGCGCGGAGCACCCAGAGGGCTCTCTGCAGATGTGGCTCGACTGAATTGAAAGAGATTTCCTAAAAGCTTTCCTTCCTAAAAGACCAAGCCCAAGGCCCCCCCAAAACAGTCTGCAAAAGAAGGCTGTTTCCCGCTCTGTACCCTCTCGTTTGCCTTGCAATGCCCACCCTGGGTGAGGCTTTTAGCTGCTTTGTGTTCTAGTACTTTCAAGGCTCAGAAACAGGGTTCTGTAAAATTTCTCTCTTATTTTTCTTTGGGAAATCATGAAAAGATCAAGCTTTCCCCCCCTACATACCTGCCAATCATGCAGACAACATTATTTAAAAAAAAATAATTTGTCTTTTAACATGCCATGGAATTAGTGGTGGAGGGGGAGAGATGGGGGCTGGAGATGGTTTTTGCCTTTTAGCTGCTCAAGTCTGCTTGTCTGGAGTGTTCAGACCCACACACTTATGTCACCAGTCCCAAGTCTCTAATTATGCTCCTCACTCTTAGAAATGAAAGATAAATGGCATAGATATAAACTTCCATTTGTCAGAATTGATTTCCTGTTTTAATTGGGGGGTGTAATAGATCCGTCTTTTCCAGCAACAGAAACATGTGTGCTCTGATTACATCTATCAGTCTTGGATTCAGGGAAGTCTAAGAAAGGAGGCACACAGTGACAGAAACACACTCCCTGTTGGTATCTTTTCACTTCCCTTAAATAGATGCAGGTTTTTTTCTTGTGTAATTACAAGCTAAAAATATCAATAACGTGAAGTACAATTTATGCTGTGACTGCCCTTTCAAAGTGAGCCCTTACTTGTCTAATTCAGGTTGAGAATTCCTGCCTCTGGGGTTTTATAATTCATTCAGCCTCACGTCTTTTGGTGAGGTTTTCCCTTTCTTTGCTACTTGGAAAGTGCTAAGGAAATTCATTTTTTTAAAATAGGAGTCTCAAGGCCCCAAACTGCTTGTGGCAAACTCCTCCTGGTTGTTGACAGTCAACAGAGCGGTGAAAAATAACCCACAAGACCGCACATCTGGAGGCCATAGAATGGAGACCCAAACTGGTGAGCCACATGAGCTTTATCTCCGTGAGAGCTTTGGACTGTCCTCAAAGACTCAGACTGCCCCGTAAGTAAGCCAGAAAGCCTCCGTGCCTCCCATTTACAAATCACTGCTATAGCTTTCATATGGTTACTATATATTTGTAATGAATGTCATCAACAAATCAGCCAACTAACAAAGGGGCCAAATAAAAGAAGGCAAAACAAAAAGCATACAATTTTCATGAACACCACAGCTATGACAGAGGAAAGAGGGCCCTATGAATGACAGAACTGAAGGACATATTTTTCTAGGCCCATGAGTAAGTTCCCTTGACCTTGAGACTCTACTTTCTAATCCTCTTCAAAAGACTGCACAAGACTGCACGCATTAATTTTATCGGAAAGCATCCTGAGGGGGAGAAGGCCTGGGTAGGGAAACAGGTTACGGGAAGATGTGACAGCTAATGGTGTGACACGGACCCAAATACGTGCGAGGCCTATACTAGGAAGACAGACTTGATTGCTCTCTGTGCACGTCCGCCTCCCTGTGACCTCCTATCTGTAGACTGGCAAGACGTAGAGGTCAGCGCCAGAGAGAACTGTGGACTATTACACCTGGGGAGCTTTAAGACAGGCTCTGTTCTAATGACCAGACTGAACAGCTCGGAGAAATTGAGCGGTTTGTCCACTGTCACACATCTTGTTCGTGTTGAGGCCAGGGAGGGCTACCCTGGTATCCTGCCTATTTCCAACGTACATACTCTGCAGCTGAGTCAACTTTCTCACAATCAGAGCCACACAAAGATGTGACGGATGAGCCCCAGGCAAGCCTTTGAGCAGAAACTGGGGTGAAGGACCAGATGGATTAATGGACACCGGTTCCTGGATTAGAAGAGGGGATTAACAAACTCCATTTTTAAGGTCCCATCAAATCCTGAGATCCTACAGCTCTGTGAGAGAAGAATGTGTGGCCCAGACACCAGGCAGTAAGGACAGACTCTTGAGGGGACTGGCAGGCTCGAGGGGACAGAGTAGACTGCCTACTTGTGGAAGTCCTCAATGCAGTGAATGAGGCCACCAGCGTCCACGGTGAATGGGATCCCGTCAAGGCTGCGGTGGCACATGACACAGGTAAAGCAGTGAGGATGATAGGCCTTTCCGGTGGCTCGCAGGATCCGCTCCATGATGGGCTTGGAGCACACACTGCACTGTTCCAGGGTGTTCTGGGGAAGGAGAGATAAACACCAATGTTAAACTGGGACTTGAGGAGCTCCACGTATTTAATACCTTATGGCAAGACCAGCAGTGTTTGTTACAGACACAATTGGCTCATGTGCCTATCACAGTACTTGGGAGAAAGCAGAGTGCATACCTTTATTATAGAGACAAGGAAACACGTAAGATACATCAGGGGTCTTTTCTAAATTCACCCAGGTAGTAGGTGGCCAACCAAGCATTTAGAACACATGTCTTCTGACTTCCGTCCCTTTTCTACCACTATTGCAGGGTTGATGGCAAACATTTCTGTAAAGGCATGTACGGTAAATATTTCTGGTTTTGTTGCAGCAATTCAGTTCTGCTGTCATAGTGTGAAGGCAGTTGTAAATGCACAGGACTGTGTTCCAATAAAACTTTACTTACAAAAGTGGGCTGGATTTTGCTCACAGCTGTAGTTGTTTGACCCCCTGAACTGCATAACCAAGGTTCTCCACTGGAAGAACACCTCACTATTCTAAAACTTGATGAGTCTTCAAAAATCTGGGAGGGTCACCAACGACCTTAAGATTTTAGGAGGGTCTGCCTGATGATGGAGACTCACAGAGCATGCCAGTTGTAGAACCCAATCAGGGCTCAGCATAATCCATGAGGGCTTTTGATTATTTAAAGCTTTGATTCGAACACCACCTCCAAGTTTAGTGTTGTGCACCCTGGACAGAAAAGAAAGTCAACTTATCTGTCTTACAAAATATGCTGAGCTTTAAAAAATGAAACCCTCACCAAAAGGGATACCATATATTGATCAGGACTTGGAAAGATTGATAAAATTGGCTATTAACTTTCCATCCTTCCCTAGAATCCCATGCTGTCTACTAAACAACCTTGTTATATGCTATATTACAAGTGAGATGTCTGGACTGATTCAGAGTTTACAATCTAGAATAAACCTGGGATGGGGATCTTATTAGAAAGATGCAGAACTGGAAGGGATGTGGAAAGTAAGGAGTAATTTCCCTCTTACCATGAGAACCTTTAAATAGCTCTCACACAAGAAATGCCTATAGGTAGATAACTAGTGTGCTGATGTCTCAACCACAGCAACAGTCTCTGATTGGCTTTCTTGTTTGCATCTCTCCTTCTCTAACACTTCCCTGTTCCCTAAGTGACTTCCAGTTTCCTTTCCAACACACAGATGTGACCAACTAACTTTGCTTCTAGCAAAAACTTCTATAGCCCCACAATGTGATAAGAACTAATTCCTTACCTGACATTCAACCTCCCTTTCTAGGGTCAGATTCCCCTAATGTCTCAGATTGCTCATGCTATTTCAAATCTATGAGAAACTTCCATAATTCTGTGCATTGGCTAATGCCTAGAATGAACTACAGTTTATCATCTTGAACTTTCAAGGTACAGGTCAGAAGGCAACTCTCCAGTAAAGCCTACCTTGATGCCTTCAGTTGGAATCAATTGCTTCTTTCTCTACCCTTCCTGAGCACTTACAGTGTTCACTGTATTAAAATTATTTGCACATTTGTCTATTTCTTCTATTAGACTAATCTCTTTAAGGGAAGCAACTATGTCTTTTTAAAAAAAGCTATTAAATTCCGGTGCAGTTAACATACAGCGTTATATTAGTTTCAAGTGTGCAATATAGTGATTCAATAATTCTATACATCAGCCTGTGCTCATCACAATAAATGTACTTTTAATCCCCAGCACCTGTTTCATCTATCCTCCCATTCACCTCCTCTCTGGTAACCATCGGTTTGTTCTCTGTGGTTAAGAGTCTGTTTCTTGGTTTGTCTCTCTCTTTTTTCCTTTTGTTCATTTGTTTTGTTTCTTAAATTACACATATGAGTGAGATCAGATGATATGTCTTTCTATGACTGGCTTATTTTGCTTAACATTATACTCTCTACTTCTATCCACGCTGTTACAAATAGCAAGATTTCATTCTTCTTTTATGGCTGAATAATATTACATATGTATCCCTCATCCATTCATCTGTTGACGGAAGCAATTATGTTTCCATAATTTGGCTATCATAAATAACATCACAATAAACATATGGATGCAGGCATCCTTTCAAATTAGTGTTTTTACATTTTTTGAGCAAATACTCAGTGGTGTGATTCTTGGATACTAAGGTAGTTCTATTTTTAACTTTTTGAGGAACCTCCCTACTGTCTTCCATAGTGACTGCAGTAGTTTACATTCCCACCAATAATGCACAAGGGTCCCTTTTTCTCCACATCATTGCCTACACTTGTTTCTTGTGTTTTCAATTTTAGCCATTCTGACAGTTGTGAGGTGATATCTCATTGTAGTTTTGATCTGCATTTCCCTAATGATAAGTGATGTTAAGCACCTTTTCATGTATCTGTTGGCATCTGTATGTCTTCTTTGGAAAGAACTCTGTTCATGTCTTTTGCCCATTTTTAATTAGATTATTATTATTATTGTGTGTGTGCATGTTGAATTGCATAGGTTCTTTATATATTTTTGGATACTAACCCTTTATTGGATAGGCTATTTACTAATATATTCTCTCATTCAGTAGTTTGCCTTTAGTTTTGTTGATTGTTTCTTTTCATGTGAAGAAGATGTAGTCCCAATAGTTTATTTTTGCTTTTATTTCCCTTCCTCAAGAGACATGTCTAGAAAAATGTTGCTACGGATGATGTCAGAGAAAATACTGACTGGGCTCTCTTCTAGAATATGTATGGTTTCAGATGTCACATTTAGGTCTTTAATCTATCCTGAGTTTATTTTTTGTATATGGTATAAGAAAGTGGTCCAGTTTCATTCTTTTGCATGTAGCTGTTCAGTTGTCCAGATACCATTTGTTTGAAGAGACTTTTTCCCATTGTATATTCTTGCCTCTTTTATCAAAGATTAATTGACCATGTAATCGTGGATTTATTTCTGTGCTTTCTGTCCTGTTCCATTGATTCATGTGTCTGTTTTTGTGTTAGTATCATACTGTTTTGGTACTACAGCTTTGTAGTATAACCTGAAATCTGGAATTGTGACACCTTCAGGTTTGTTTTTCTTTTTCAAGATTGTTTTGGCTATATGGAGTCTTCTGTGGTTCCATATAAATTTTAGGACATTTTTGTTCTAGTTTAGCGAAAAATGCTGTTTGTATTTTGACAGAGATTGCATTAAATCTGTAGATTGCTTTGGGTAGTATCAACATTTTAACAATGTTTGTTCTTTCAATCCAGGAGCATAGAATATGTTTTCATTTGTTTGTGTCATCTCCAATTTCCTTCATCAATGTTGTATAGTTTTCAGAGTATAGGTTTCTTGCCTCCTTGGTTAAGTTTATTATGAGGAGTTTTGTTATTTTTGGTGCAATTGTAAATGGGATTGTTTTCCTAATTTCTTTCTGTGCCTCCATTATCAGTGTATAGAGATGCAATGGATTTCTGCACATTGATTTTGTATCCTGTGACCTTACTAAATTAACAGTTTTAGTAGTTTTTTTTTATGGTGTCTTTACAGTTTTTTAAATATAGTATCATGTCTGCATGACTGTCAAAATCTAGACTGCAAATAGTCAAAGTCTCTTTCTTTCTTACCAATTTGGATGCCTTTTATTTCTTTTTCTTATCTGATTGCTGTGACGAGGACTTCTAGTACTCTAATGAATAAAAGTGGTGGGGCCACTTGGTGGCTCAGTCAGTTAAGGGTCTGACTTCGGCTCAGGTCATGACCTCACGGTTCATGAGTTTGAGCCCTGTGTCAGTCTTTGTGCTGACAGTGCAGAACCTGGAGTCTGCTTCAAGTTGTGTCTCCCTCTCTCTGCCCCTCCCCCACTCCTGCTCGCGCTCTCTCTCTCTCTCAAAAACATTAAAAATGTTTTAATAACATCAAAAATTAAATTTAAAAGTGGTGGGAGTGGACATCCTTGTCTGATTCCTGATCTTAGGGGAAAAACTCTCAGTTTTTCACCATTGAGTATGACATTAGCTGGATTTTTCATATATGGCCTTTATTAGGTTGAGATATATTCCTTCAGAACCTACTTCGTTGATGTTTTTTTTTTATCATGAATGGATGTTGTACTTTGTCAAAACCTATTACTGCATCCATTGAAATGATCATATGATTTTTATCCTTTCTCTTGTAAATGTGTTGTATCATGCTGATTGATTTGCAAATATTGAACCACCTTTGCAACCCAGGAATAAATCCCACTTGGTGAATGATTTTTTTAAACGTATTGTTGGATTTGGTTTGCTAATATTTTTTTTGAGGTTTTTGTAACTATGTTCATCAGAGATATTGGCCTGTTGTTTTCTTTTTTCTCTTTCTTTCTTTCTTTCTTTCTTTCTTTCTTTCTTTCTTTTGTAAGTGTCTTTATCTGATTTTGATATCAGGGCAATGCAGGCCTTGGGGACCATGTCTTAAGAATATATTTTGCTGTCCTATGCTATACCTAGTATAGTATCTGGAATAAAACTAAACCCAGGTTGAATGTGTGAAAAAAAAAAAAAAAGGAATATTGTTTACATCCTACCCAGGCATCTCTGGGCTGGTCTGACTCTCCTGTCTCTGGAATCCATCCGAAGATGAATTGGTATATCCATCACCATCCTCTCCTCAAAGCTGTGGTTGCTGAAAGTTCTGAAATTGCTTAGTATGCCTCTGGTCACAGTCTAAACTCATGGAAACTATTAACCTATTTTCCCCCCATTTTGAAGTGGTGAAATTAAAATAGCAGAAGAACATAAGATGAAAGTCTGGAGAAAATGATGCTCTGGACAATGAGGGCCCTGCTTTTTTTCTACCCTGGTGATCTGAGCTGATGTGGCTGCAAACTGTCTTCCCAGGGCTTGTATTTTGCTCTTCTGCGGGTTTTAACTTTTTTTTTTTTTTTTAAGGCAGTCCTGTAATCCTGTAATGGAGTTGAACAAACCAGAAAATGCTTGACCAGAAAATGTGTTTGTTTGCATTGAGGCTTGGCTGCAAGATTTAGCCCATTTACTCAAAACCA